CAAATAACGCGAAGAATATGATGGAACCAATTGACTGCTTTTCTATTTTTATGACGGCTGATATGATACGTAATATAGTTGGACATACAAACGAAGAAATTGTATCGAGAAGTTCAAAATATAAAGAGCAAACCGCAACAATTTCATCAACATGCGAAGAAGAATTGACTGCTTTGTTAGGATTGCTTCTGCTGTCAGCTTCGAAAAAAGACAATCATCTCATCAGCTTGGAACTATTTGATCCTACATTTAGTTGAACCCGATACATATCGGTAATGTCACGGGACAGATTTGATTTTTTGATGAACTGCTTGAGATTTGACGATAAGTCAACAAGAGATGAACGTAAAGCACAAGATAAATTCGCGCCCATCAGAGACCTGTGGGAAGTTTTCATTCAGACATGCAGGGACAGCTATAGAGCTGGAACTTTGTTACAATAGATGAGCAACTACTAGGTTTTAGAGGACGTTGCCCTTTTAGAATGTACATTCCGTCTAAAACCTAATAAATATGGCCCAAAAATCCTGATGCTATGCGGTGCTAAAACTAAATATATGATAAATGCAATGCCGTATGTTGGAAAAGTTGAAACAAATGGTGATTCAGAAAAATTATGAGCAGGAATAGATTTCAGTAATTATTGCGTAATTTCCATTTCGCGAAAAATGATGACAGAGCAACATCGAGATTGCACAAAATCATCGGAAAATGATTTTAGACCAATTCAACATACTTATGTCTGAGATTTATTATCCAAAAGTTGATCTCAGTGTTCATGAGTACATAAAAAATAAAAAGCATAAATATGGTATCAAACTGTATGAGCTTTGTGAGTCTTCTGTAATGGTAATGAAAATTCGTGTCTACAGAGAAAGAAGTGAAAGGCCAAACCAAACCAAACCTATCATGTTTGTATTGTGAACGCCGTGCAACTTATCTGGAGTGCGTAATATTTTGTCATAACAGATTATATTATAAATTTCTTTATTATGCTTACTTGGAATAAGTATTCGGTTTTTCTGAGCTTTTTTACATTACTTATTTTGAACAGTGAGAATATCGTAATAAACATAAAATAAATGGTGTATAATAATGTAGCATATATTTACATTGTTATTTGCTTTAGTTAATGTGTAATTTTGCATTGTTACAGATGTATAAGGAAGAAGAACGTCTTATGAGACTTTTCGAAGAAGCGTCGACGGGAAGCACGATACCAAATCCATTTAGTGTTAGTGATGATGGTCGATATGGATCTGATGGAAACTATAATCCTCGTAATGATGAAGTGAGTAGTGACAGCACCAATACTTCTTTAAATAGAACTTCAAGAAGAAGTAAGTTATGTAATTGTTCTTCTAATAGATTTCAACTCGTAAATACAGCTCCATTGCGTAATCGTACCTTTAGTTCAAGCTCATCATCATCATCTGATGTGGATAAAACCGAATCTCTAGAGACTGACTCTGACGAGTGCCAAGATGTAACACTTATTGAAAATGTTCCACGTAGTCACGATGATTCTATTACTTCATGTGAATCTGTACAATTGGAATCAATACTCCAGTATAATACTACTTCGTTAGAGTCGAAGAGCAACAGGAGCCTGATTGTAGTTCGAATAAACCAATGCAAGACCCAGAACCAGGCGCAAGCAATATATAGGAGAGGCATAACAGGTCCCTTACACCACCTTCTACTGTAAATTGAGAACACACAACATTAGATATCCCAGAATTTAATTTCAATTCTACATCAACAGGCGTTCAGATTCATATTGATTAAAATACTTAGGTCCTCGATGTATTCAGACAATTATTTCCATCTTATATTGTTAGTCCACTTATCGAACATAAAAATAAATATGGTGAGGCTCTATGCAATAAAAATAGACCAATGACGAGACATAGTCGTAGATACTTGTTCATGGAAAGTAGACGAAGATGAATTTATTAAATTTCTAGGACTGTGTTTATTACAAGGACAATATATCTGTTTCTAAAAAACGAAAACTGTTTACATATTCAGATATTCTTTATTATCATCCAATATTTCCTTACAAAATATCAAAAAGAAGATTTGAACAAATACTAACATGTCTTTACGCTTCAGACTTAAATGCTAAAGGAAGTGCTAAGATCAGTAGTTTTATAGATAACATGAGTAAAATATTTCAAAATTGTTATAAACCTGAAAAAGAACTTTTGTTAGATGAATCTTTACTGTTATTTAGAGGAAGATTAAAGTTCAGACAGTACATGAAAGACAAAAAAGCACGATATCGAATAAAATTTTACGGGTTGACGACTGCATAGGGATTTGTTCTCAATATAATTATGTATACTAGGAAGTACCCCGTGCAGTGGCGGGTAAGAATGCCCACTACCCCATATATACCAAGCGTGGCAAATATGGGCACTATGAGTAACGACACAAATATTATGTCGGTCAATATGTCCCGAGCCTGACATATAGATGGTGATGTTAGGAATTTTGTTTTTTATTTTTAAAACGAGCCGACGTCTATATAATATGTGCTTAATTTTCAAAGCCTCTAAACTATTTGTTTAAAAGTTACGATGATTTTTTTGGCGCCACTTTAAAATATTTTGAAACAATGGATGAAAAATAATTTCTAGTGCTAATTAAACATTGTTTTTTAATAAAGAAATAACTCTGAAGCAAAAAGTTGGCTTGAAAAGTGTTATGGAGACTCTGCTCTGTCAAAAGCAACAGTTAAATGTTGATTTGCTGAATTTAAGCGCGGACGATCAGACACAAATGATGCTGAACGCTCTGTACGCCCAAATGAGGATGTTATTTCAGAAAACATAAAAAAGCTCACAAAATAGTTTTGGAAGACCGTAAAATGAAATTGCAAAAGATAGCCGATGACCTAAAGATATCGAAAGGTAGTTCATTCACCATTTTGAATGAGCATTTATTTATGAGAAAGCTTTGTTCCAAGTGGGTACCGCGTTAGCTCACCATTGAATAAAAGCATCAACTTGTTTAAAGCCTCAGAGCGCTGTTTAGAGTTATTTATGCGAAACAAAAGGATTTTTTCATGCAGTAGTCGCAATGGATGAAACTTGGATCCAATACTACACTCCAGAATCAAAAGGGCAGTCAAGTGAGTGGGCAGCAACGATTAAAAGCCGCCAAAGCCACCAAAAACTCAATTTTCAGTTGGAAAGGTTACAGCATCCGTGTTTTGGGATGTGCATGGTATAATATTTATAGACTATTGATTTATAATTTGCATCGACAACTGCTAGCAAAACCATAGAAAAATATTCCTTGTAATTATTGTATAACGATCCGCTGTTTTTGGGAGCTTTCAATCTGACATATTTACCATCAATTGCACCCATCAATTAAGAAAATTCTATTTGGATGAATATTGGTCACTGATATTTTTTTGTTAATTTTCCGTTGGCAATGGCTACACTGACTTCATTTGTTATGACACTTATCTAGCTATGACATACTCGATACTGAAACGCAAGTGACGGAAAAGACTCGGCTGTAGCCAAGTGTCTGTAATAAAAATAATGTTATTATTAAAATCTTGCAGATACTGATTGCAACAAGAGATGGTGCTAAGTTCGGGACTATTTCATTCGACGCAAAGGAAAACCTGGTACTGGTTCAAGTGAAGAAGCAGCGAAAAAGAGATCCAATCTCCTACCGCTCTTAGACAGCATTCCTTCTTCACAGAGAAACAGCATTACTAACGTAACTGAAAATCCAGGAGAAAATACTCAGCATAGTAGCGAACAAACACCATTCCAAAATCAGGAAACGGAGGATATGACATTTAATAAAGAAGAAAATATCGCTATTAATACATATTATAACAATGACAATAGTAAAGAAAATAGTAATAATGATGAAGATATTAATAAAAAGCTCAAAGAAGATGGAAATATGAAGAGTAACCTGAAACGAAAAAATAATTAGCACGCTTAGGAACGTTTGAATATATTAAAACAAATGGATAACAGAAAACAATCTCCCCAAAATGATTTAGATGAAACTGACCTCTTTTTCAACTCCATGGCAAAAATTGTTAAGAAGCTGCCAAGGTACGAACAAGCACAACTTAGAATGCAAAGTAGGTCATTGGTTGGTAATGCAGAATTGCGCTATATGTCTATCGATTCAGATCCAATGAATTCATCAAGGCCCAGCACAAGTGGTTGTGATTATTCCAAAAGTCCAATGCGTTCATCAACCTTTAGTACTAGTACTGTTACTGATTATTCCGAATTAGCAATTCCTACACCAAGAACGAATACTGGATCTAGTTTAGTTCCTTCACGTCCAGTCCCTACAATTGTATTAAATGAGTAAGAACAAATATATTTCATTCCACTGAATAACATTCAATTCCAATAAATGACCAAAGCCAAATATATTTCATAGGATAACATTCAATTTAAAAAAAAAAACAAAAAATATGTACATAAAAAATATGTTGTTTTTGTTTTATAGATTTACCCAATAAGTATATAACGGCATGACGATGGCGGTGTCGTAGTACGCCGGCATAGCAAAAGTTGTTAACAACATGTGCACCTATCACGCCACCCTGTGCGCCACTCTATTTCCCCCACCGTCCCACTACTCGACTTGTTTTGCAACGGGTATAAACCGACCGCGTAGCGAAGGAGCGAGCAGGGATTCGGTTGTCTGCGCTCACGCTGTGCAGACGTATTAAACAGTAATTATATTTCATCGCTTCATTTGAAGATATAAATATTCACCAGTAGTCCCCTTAACCTACAGGTGACTCTATGCACGCTTAAAAAGACATTCATTTGACTAAACTGAAGTTAACTGTGAACCGATTTACCCCTACCACCGCCGACTCGCGGACGGGGTGAGTCGCCATTCTGAGCTCATTCCTTTTTCGTGCACGGTGACGACGAGCACGCGTCTCCGAATAAGTTTTTACTTTATTCTTGCCTTTAGTATTTATAATTAAAATCATAATGCCAAAACGAAGTGCGGAAGAAAAAATCGAGTGTTACGAACGCAAAATTAGAAAATTACGTGAACGCGATATCGGACAACATCGCCGAATACGCGTCATATCATCCGATTCTTCCAATAGTGAAGGTAAGCATATAAACTTTTTTATTATTACGATTCATCATGAGTCAAGATTACGTAACTTTTAGGTTTCGTTAACACGTGTTGTTTTTTACACGCTACCAGCTTTCATCAGAACAGGCCGTGAGCCTCGTTTGTTGAAAAAATAACCTTCATCAGGACAGGCCGTGAGCCTCGTTCGTTGAAACAAAATGCTTCATCAGGGCAGGCCGTGAGCCTCGTTTGTTGAAGTAATTAACTTTTCTAACCCTAAAAATATTCGTTTTAGGTCTTGAAGATGCCGACCAACCTGAGTTAAGCCTTAAAAATAATGCGAAGGATCTCGGGAACTCTTCAGGACAGTGTCCCACACCATCCATCAGAGAGCCTGAGCCCATGCCGGAGCCCGAGCTTACGCCAGAACCTGAGCTCGCAGTGGAGCCAGTGTCTAGACCAGAGACCAGGACAGAGAAACCATTAGAGCCACTGGCTTTGGAGGCAACCTCGTTGGAACAAAACCCGAACGATGAATCAGCCGAACCAGAATTGGACCCTGAACTTTTAGAAGCCCTCGGTGAATCCACCAGCGATACCCCAGAGTTTGGAGAAAGAATTCACGAGAGTTTAGCCAAATTGTGGCTTCCTCTACTCGTCAAAGGCTTGCCAAAAGATAAAAAGGAAAAAATTTTGAAGGAGTACTTAATCCCGGACAACTGTAGGTTGCTACAAGCGCCTAAATTAAACGCAGAGATATCAGCAGCAGTTATAGACTCTGTAAGAAACAGGGATAAGATCCTGGTAGTTCACCAACAACAACTAGGGTCGGGGATAACAGCCATTAACAGAGCTCTTAATACTCTCTTAAGTGAGGATGACAAGAAGAATGCTATCCAACATCTTAGCAATGCCTGCCGTATACTATCGGATTCACATACGGTAAATACGAATAGCCGCATAAAGCTCATTACACCAAACCTGGATAAGAACTTCCTCCACATAGTTCAAGATGCCGTAAGAGACGAAACTTTGTTCGGTAACAAACTTGCAGAAAAGATCAAGGCAGCCAGAGCAATTGAACGACAGGGTCTCCAAATAAAAAAGACTAATCCGAAACCTTCCAGCTCTTAATCCAATAGCCACCGCTCTTCTAATTCGGGAAACTGGTCCGGCCCACCCCGGTACTCATCGAACCGAGGCAACCGAGGTGGGAAGAAAACGACGACGCAGAGCCGCCGTCCATACCTGAGCTCGACGCAACAGCAGCCAGCATCGAAGCCTGCAGTAGCGAACAAGCCTCGTGCCCTGGCGCCCCAGTAACTCAGGTACATGCAGACAGAATTAAGCACTTTTTTATTTGTTCAGTAATTTTAGATTGCATACAAAATGGTCTATACATACCCTTTTGCAAGGAACCCTGCCAAACAAACGTTCCTAGCAACACCTTTTCGAAGTTAGAGCACCAGGAAATGACAACTGCGATTCAAAAACTGGTTGACTTGGGTGCCGTAACAGAATGTCTTCCAAGTAGAGACCAGTTTGTCTCCAAAATATTCCTTGCCCCAAAGACAAACGGCAGCAAGCGTTTTATACTAAATTTGAAACCATTAAATAAATATGTTTCAAAGTTTCATTTCAAGATGGAAGATTACCAAACAGCGGCAAAGTTAATACCTCAAAACGGATACTTAGCCACAATTGATCTGCAAGAAGCCTACTTACTAATTCCGATTCATGCTGAACATAGAAAGTATTTAAGATTTCAATTTAAGAGAAACACTCAGACCACGACCTACGAGTTTACTCAATATGGGCTGTCCGTGGCTCCTAGGGTATTTACTAGGATTATGAAAGAAGCCGTAACTCATTTGAGAAGTGCGGGTTTTAATTCAGTAGTTTATCTACATGATATTCTCTGCATCGGCAATACTTATGACGATTGCAGATCTAACGTAAATGAAACTTTGAAACTGTTGCAATGTCTAGGTTTCATCATAAATTTCGATAAAAGTTCGCTCCAACCTAAGCAAATTTGTAAATTCTTAGGTTTTATCTTTAACACTGAGAATCTAACCGTTTCTCTCCCAGATAATAAACGTAACAGTATTACACAATTGGTTCAGAAGTTTACTTATCTACCTACATGCACTATTCAAGAATTTACTCAATTAATTGGTAATCTAACTGCGGCGTGCCCTGCTGTCCAATACGGTTGGTTGTACACCAAGCTATTGGAACGTCAAAAATATCTCGCGTTATTAGAAAATCAGAATTATGAGAGTAAAATCAATTTACCTAGTATTATCCTTGAGGATCTTATTTGGTGGACTAATAACATTCAAAAAACATCACATCCAATGCGAAACGCCGCCTATAAAATTGAAATTTACACAGATGCTTCACGAACTGGCTGGGGCGCAGTTCGCGATGAAGAACGCGCTCACGGAGGGTGGTCAGTTAGTGAACGTAATTACCATATAAATTATTTGGAACTATTGGCAATCTTTCTCGGACTCAAAAGCTTGGCATCTAAAGAAACCAATTGCGCGATACTGTTACGGGTAGATAACACTACAGCCATCAGTTATGTAAATCGCATGGGCGGAATACAATTCCCCCATTTAAACCAGATCGCTCGGCAAATTTGGCAATGGTGCGAAAAGCGTAAAATTTGGATCTACGCGTCATACGTCAATACTAAAGAAAACTGGGCTGACGCTGAATCTAGAATTATAAATCCCGACACCGAATGGGAACTCCACTTTACCAGCTTTCAAACCATTGTATCACATTTCGGCCAACCAAATATCGACTTATTCGCTTCCCGCACCAACGCCAAATGCACAAACTTTGTTTCTTGGAGACCGGATCCAGATGCAATGGCTGTAGACGCTTTTACTATAAGCTGGAGCGGATGTTATTTTTACGCATTCCCCCCATTTTCCATAATATTAAATTGTTTAAGGAAAATAATGGATGACAGGGCACACGGAATACTTGTTTTTCCTTATTGGCCTTCACAGCCCTGGTTCCCCTTATTACAAGGGTTATTAGCATCCGACATTCTGTTCTTGGGCCCTAATAAGAATCTTTTACGGTCACATTCTAGGGAACACCATCCTTTACACGCGAGCCTTACCTTGGGTGTCGCGAGGCTCTCCAGCAAGCTTTCTCCCGAAGATGCCCACCGGAGGCCCTCAACCTCATGCTAGCATCACTCTCCGATAAGGCGTGGTGGCGGTTTTGTGATAATAGAAATATTAATCCGTTCCAACCATCTGTATCTCCTTTTTTATCCTTTTTAACTGACCAGTTTAATGGCGGTTGTACATATGGAAGTCTGAATTCTCATAGATCGGCACTGTCATTACTTCTCGGCAACAATATTGGTTCAGACGAACGTGTAAGTCGATTGCTAAAAGGAGCTTATAAATTAAGGCCAAACGTTCCCAAATATACACAGACCTGGGACCCTCAACGTGTTTTAAATCACGTTGCAGAGTGGCATCCCAATACAAAATTGAACCTGGAAAAAATTACTAAGAAATTAGCAATTTTGTTAGCCCTCTGTACAGCACATAGAGTACAAACCCTATCATTAATTAAATTGGAAAATATATCATTTTCTCACAATAACGCAAAGATCATAATTACTGATATAATAAAGGCTTCCGCCCCAGGCCGAGAACAACCTGTACTCCTGATTCCATTTTTCTTAGAAAATGAGAATATTTGCCCAGCTACCGTTTTAAAAGATTATATTTCTGTCACAGAAAGTAAAAGAACAGAAAACAGAGGTAAACTGTTCCTCACTCACAAGCCACCACACAGACCAGCCACGACACAATCAATCAGTCGATGGATTAAACAAGTGCTATCGGAGAGTGGAGTGGATGTATCAAAGTTTGGCGCACACAGCACTCGCCACGCCTCTACCTCAGCTGCGGGCCGTGCGGGTCTCAGCGTTGATGCCATCCGTAAAGCTGCCGGATGGACTCCTACATCAAATACTTTTGCGCGATTCTACAATAGAACCCTTGTCGATGAGGGGAAATTTGCAAGATCTGTTTGCTTTACGTCGAATCTTTAGGTTAAGACTGTATCGGCACTCATAAATACAAAAACTATTTAATTATCTTCAAATGAAGCGATTCATATAATAATGATCGAACTTCACTTGAGAAGTTCGTTTGATCTTATATAAATGTACATATTATATAAACTCCTTAATGGAGACAGTCCTGGAATTTGACATCTTTAATGACACACTCAAGGTGATCATGTCAAACTGTCTCATCTTATGTGAAAGCCATGTTTGTTAGGTAAATAAGTTGTATATTGTTATCACTTTATTCTGTTTTATATTATTTTATTTCCTCTACTTATTGTTAAGTATGTTTGATCTCTAACTTGTTATTTGTTTTTTGAATTATGTTAATTATGTTATATGTTTAATTTTACCTATTAATTACTGTAATTGGCGCAAGCCGTTGTAATTAATTATAAATAAATAAATAAATTTAAATTATAATAAAGGGAACGAGATTTTTGTTGTGAGAATCGTTATCGATAAAATTGAATTGTTTAATATCACTTCTGACCTAGTCATGCAATACTGACCACCATTCTACAGCGCTAGCAGTATAGTTCAAGTAACATATTATATGAAAGGGCTTTGGCCATGGGAATGTATCGGGGCTATTCAAAGATATACTATTCTTTCAGAACATTCATGCATTATTATTATGGTCTGCTTTATAGTTTATGTAATAAAATGTATTACTGTTGTAGGTTTCCAGACGAAGAGCACACAATGAAGGATCATAGATCTTAAATATTTTCTAAAAGAATTAAAAACAATTTCTAACCACGCAACAGCCTTCGGTTGCGGTATAAATCATTTGGAGTTGATAGAGGAAAAAAGGTTAGGTTTGATTTCAAAATTAAAATTCAAATGCAATATGTGTAATGCATTTGAATTTTAATTTATAATATAATAAAGCGCTTACCAAAGATACCAAATATATACTGCAGCATAAAAAGTATCTAAATACACAAAGAATCCTGGCAATCAGAAAAGTTATTTGTTCTTCGATAAAACTCCTGAAGAAGACAAGTGATACCCGCTCAAAACAAATAAACGATCTTTATGTAGCAATTTCCAATTCATACAATCATACTTTCGGTTGTCATACGAACTGCCAGGATTTTTATTGCAAAAGCAAAAAAAAAACAAGTGAAGATGTCCCTGTCAAACGGAAAGATACGGCGTAAAAAAAAGTTAAAAAACGCAAATAAAGTTTATAGTCGGCTCTAATACAGCCAATGCACGAAGTGCTATTGAAGACGTGGACAGCAATCGTTGTGAACAGTTTAACGTCATAATTGCAAAGTGTATCGGTGGTTAACGCATAAACTTTTGTCTTCAGCGTTCATATCAGACTAGATGCGCAGTCGTATTATTTAATACAAAAAGACCTTTGTACAAGCTCCAAAGGTTTATTCTGGGTTTGAGCCCAATGTCAAATTCAAAACACCTGGAATTGCTGAAAACTGAAAAGAAACAGTTCCACGCCTAAATGCAACCCAGAAAGCTTGTATTTCAACAAAAAAATAATAGTGCTGAAGATGAAAATTACGGTCAAAATTGTATGAAGCCTGATTTGCATGTAGAAAATTCAGAAAGAATGAAAAAATGAAAAAAAAAAATTTTAACAAATTTGGAGAAATCTGACGAAGAAAGAAAGGGGAACAGTCCTCCAGAGTGATTGTAGTAAATGGATGGAAATTAGAAGGAATTTGTTAACGGCTTCCAATTTCGGCAAAATTATAAACAAGAGGAGCACGACGTCAGGTATTATAGTTTAAAGTTTACTGTTTCAAAAAGATCTCTCTGGTGTTACCTCCATCAAACATAGTAAAATGAATGAAAAAATAGCTTTGAGTTAACTAGAGCAGCAAGAAAACATTAAAATTATGCCCTGTGGGCTATTCATCGATAAATACCATCCATTTTAGGAGCAACTCCTGACGGAATGATAGATGACAACAGAATTATAGAAATAAAATGTACAGTACCAGGCCACAGAACTAATTTGGAAGATGCTGTGAAAAACAGGAAAATTACTTTC